GTGGTTTTGATATCAGATGGGAGCTCATAAAAAGCAAATCATTTTAGATTTGGTAAGACTGTGTTACCTGATTCCGGTGCAGAAATTTGAATTTTCTCAAAGAAATCTAGTTTATTTTGTGTTTTGATTAGAGAGAGATGCGTCTACTCGCTAGCTTCTCTCGCGCCTCCGGCGTACTATAGCCCAATCAAACATTCGAAACATTTCTGGATGATCTATTTTGTTTTAAGTCCTACATCTTTCGTGCCCATGAACAACGAACTGGGTCACCGTCAGGATCAATAACTGGTTATTGTATTGTGAATGAAACTGCCTTTGGAATGTGAACGATTCCCCTCATTCTGGGCTTGCCGTAGAAATAACTAACCGTTTGATAAAAGCAGCATCAATATTTTATCTAATAAAATAAATAAAATATGGATTTAACCATGAAATCCAATAAAATATGGATTTAATCATGAAATCCAATAAAATATGGATTTAATCATGAAATCCAATAAAATATGGATTTAATCGTGAAATCCAATAAAATATGGATGCTGCTTTTATCAAACGCTTAGTTTTATCTAAATTATTGGCTCTAAATCGGTTTGCTGTTCTATACAAATACTGTGAAATAAAAACTATACCTTACTAAAGCTTCATATTTTTAGACCTGATTGGAAACTCAATGGAGCGCTTTTTCCCTTTTGTTTTAAGTTTCTAACTATTGCCGTTCACCAGTTTTCCAGAAAACACGATTTTTCATTGAAGATACACCTCTAGTACACAAGAACTTCATGTTTTTCCTTCGACAAATCGGTATTTTTCGGCAAGAACTTTCCTGTCAAAAAATGGATACATGCCGAGAGAAGGAAAGAGAAAAACAGAATTATTATATTTAGTAATTTTACACAAATGCATGTCGATAGAGAGAGAAAGCGAAACAGGTGCATTACAAATGAACAGAAGAGATAGAATATACTTTTATTCAAAGGGAGAAAATCTGATAATGAATATAGTGAGTCACAGGGCAGTTCATGCTTTCATCGGTCGGGAATGATTCGAGTTTTGTCGTCTGGCACTATCGTTTTGTAATAATGAAAGAGACTTTCTGGTATGAATACTGGCTGTGTTGCTTGTTTTTTTTGTTATATTTTTTGGCTTCAGCACGGTAATTCTTCCATGCGTCGATTGTTGGCAATATTTCTTTGTCTAGAAATTTGTCTTGCAAATCATGATTGCTACTACCCCAAATTACAAAATGTTCCCATAAGACCATTTGGAGCTGCCAACACTGTACCACCATTGCCAAATTTTAACTGAACCAATAGAGTTTGACATGTACGTCCTTTTTTTTCCACCCATCGGTCATATTTTGTTTGTATGGCCGTTTTTGCTTCCTCCTCTAGATCATTCCATAGCTGTTCCGCTATGTATGTTGGATCAGATTCTGGAGCATCGTCAACGTTGACACGTTCAGTTTCGTCGTCATTAGCTTGATGAATATCAAAATCAATATCAAAAAAATATTTCAAATCAAATAACGTTAATCCAAGTGAATGTAAATGGCGTAATAAATGTAGATCATCTTCTGTATAACCGAGTAACGGTAATAATTCAGTACGATAGATGATGCGATGTGGAAATTTTGCAGACGCTGAACCATGCCGAGTCAGATATGTTCCAATCGTTGGTAAATCAAAACCAACAGAATGTAAACAAGACAGAATATATTTTTCAATAAAAGGTTTATCATCAGCCGTTATCTTCTTTGCATCGGCATAGTGAAGCATAAATATAAGAAAAAAAAGCTGTTGACGGAAGGGAAAATACATTTTCCAGTGATATTATCGTTCGGCTACGTTAAATAGAAAACAAAATATGCACGAAACGTGGGTCAATGTTATGGTTGTCGGTGTTTCTGTTTCTCTACGTTCCTGTTTCCAAGAAACACGGGACACATTATTGGAATCGTCTCAGAAGACGGTAAAAGCTATTTTAGAGACCCCACTTTTTGAAATCAGAGAAATTCGTTTTTTGCGCCCGCAAG